TTTAAAGAAATGGCGTGTCGTCTATTTCCGCTGTAGCGAACGTAGTACATAGGGCGACATCTAGATGTCATCTACCTCGCCCTATTCACTACAGATGTCGCCCTATGCACTAGACTTTTTTATAGGAACTTTGCAAAGCAAAGGTTTTATGGTGTCGGACACACAACATTGAAAGTTTCTGGATCCACAACATTGAAAGTTTCTGGAGCCACAACATTGCAAGTTGATAAAAGCGTTGTAATGTAATAATAAAATGTTTTTTTTGTTCCCGTACTTTTTGTTGTTACTCACTTTTTACTCTCACTTCAGAGAGTAATTTTGCTGTTTGACAGTTTTACAGGACTTTTCACGAAAAGTATTGGATCAGAGTTTATGTGAGCATGAGGATTTTTGACAGTTCCTTGACGCTTGACGCTCCAATAATGACAGTTACATACTATGGTAGACATGTTTGGAATCTTGGTGAGGAGTTTCCTAAGCCTAAGGTACAGTCACCTGTTTTCAACTGCATTTTTTATGCCTGAAATTATTCATAATAAGGATACCAGCTGATTTGGCAGTGAAATCGATTTTTGACAAAAATTTTCACCGTTAACCACATAATGAGGTATAGACGAACAAACTGCTTATGAATCGGCGTTTATCAGCTTAAAGGGAGCTACATACATTAATATTGGCACAATTGGTACACAGTAATCTAAGAACAAAGGGGACAGGAGATGAATTGAATGCATACGAATGTAATTTTAAAACTGGACCCGCACGCTTGCCGCGCAACGCATTTTATTCTTGCGTATACATACATATGTATGTATGAATATGTATATGCGTGCCTTTCAAGATTCATTAAACTTTCAATACGTCATTTGTTGGTCGATTCTGGGACAACGTAATGAGTGGATGCAGGCAAATTTTGGATACGTTGTTACAAAAACATACTCGTACGTACATTTGTACATACATTCATATCAGCAAGAAACCAGAAAGATATCTACTGGCAACAAAGTTGACGTTTGCTTTCGCGGCAGCCTCAGCAATTCTGTTCCCTGTATGGTACAAACAATGGTGGATATGATGACAGAAATTATGTTGGTGGATGGCCGGTGGTGCCTGTTTTGCGTTGCTGCGATGCAGTGGGGGTCGCGGCGCAGCCGAGCAAAAGAGTACAAATTCGGTATCGGCGTACATATGTATACTTGTAGGTGGTCGACGCGACGTGGTGGCGGTGGAAAACAAGTACTAAAACACGTTTAAGTACCATACATACATACTGCACATACATACATATGAATGTATCGGTGAATATATGGATAAAAGTACATATGTATGAATGTACATAATTCGCTGCTGCTGCTGCTGCTGCTGGTGCTCTACAACCTTAATATGCTATACATATAGATATGTACTTATTACATACATATATATACATATATATTCTTTTTATGTTTATTATGCATATACATATGTGTGTACGTACGTAAAATGCATGACTGCAATTTTGTTTTGCTCTACATAATGCTACTCGTTACACTTTTTTACCCTTTTATTTGTACTTCCACCATTCTATGCCTTATTATTTTCTATTAGATACATTGCATTGCATTTAGCTCATTCAATAAATCGGGAACATTTTACATTTTTTTTTTTTTACTTTTACCAATATGTATGCATACATAAATACTTCTTACTTTGCAATATACATACGTAGCTGCTTCTTCCGTTGCTTTTTAGTCTCACTAAATTTAGTTGATTGACCTCTTATGTAGGTAAGTAATATTTGTTTGTATTTACTTTTTATTACTTTTCTTTCTTTTTTATGTTTTATGTATATCTCAATTTTCATTAACAGCACTTGGTTTTTTGCGGATTGAAAGCATTTGGATACGTATATTTTTGCAAGGTAACTATTTATGTGTATAAATGTGTATCTGTGACACTTTTATGTAAAAAACACTTCTTCTGCGCTTGTTCTTTTATATTGGTTTGTTGTTATTGCTTTGTACACATCCGTTTCCGCACTCTTGCCTCATAAAATTTGTTTTATTCACTACAGAACGCGTACACGAAACAACCGTAGCCAGCACTTTGCAACACTAAACTGAAAACAGCAGATGGCTAAACACTGCTGCAAATGTCCAATTAGATCGTCAACGTAATAGAATATTGTTTTTTTTTTTTAACATATAAAGCACCCTGTGCTGTCAATATTTTTCAAGTTATACTGTGGCTATACTATTGGGCATGTGTAACATTCATGAAAATTATATGTACGGTGACCATAAATATGGATTCAAAATGAAGGACAATTTTTCAAAAATATGCCTACATATATTTACGTAGTATAAAAATATCAAAAGAGTATTTATGATTCTAAATTCTTAATACATTTTAAACTTTAAAAATGAATCACGTTTTCTTCATTGATATTAATCTTTTTTACATGAATATTTATAAAAGTATAGTAAAACATATTATAATTACAATAGCTTACACAAGAAGTGGAAATCTTTAAAAGATTATTTTATATGCAAATTTTGAGTCGATCAAACCGAAAACAATACGAAAAATGACACTGAAGAGGGCACAACGCCGAAACCGGTTTGTCTCCAAACCAAATTTGACGAGGGATGACGGAAAATCGTTCCACAATACATCATACTCCTACCCTGTCGGAAACACAAACAACCAAAAAGAAAACAATACCCTTCTTTTTTTGTTTTTTTGGTACTTTTCGCAGTTATTTGTCAAAAATCGACGTCATGAATCGACGTAAACGACGAGTTACAAAGTGCCCTTTACAAAAATATATAATTTGTGCAGATTGCGCTCCGTAGCATCTACATTTCTAATCCGATTTTCATTATCTTTGGCTCAAAGTTTACTGTAATAATATATCTTCTTTATCGATTTTTTTAAATAATGAATAAAATAATCAAATGAAACTGCGTATTTGATTGAAAATCTCACTTTTTTCGCCTGTAGCACTACTAATTTTCATTGAAGTCGCCACAAGGTATATATTTTGGTAAGAGGCACATCAATACCCTTCGAGCTGTAAGTCGCTTACGTTAATTTGGAGATTTTTTCATGAGATATTGAAGAAAAGCTACGAAAAGTACCAAAAAACACTTTTTTGAAAAAATCCATTCATTGTCCGATAATTGTAAAATAACGAATAAAATGCGGGACAAATGCAGGACACTTGGAAAAAATCAGTACATTTTCAGGTTTGAAAAATTACGCAGGACCGACCTTTGAAAAACAGTACGATCCTGCAAAAAACAGAACGGATGGTCACCGTAATTATATGTGACAAACATTAGGGAAACTCTATAAAATGCATTCATCAATCATATTCGTATACAAGACCGATGGAATGCAAGATTGCGCTGATTGATGTGAAATTTGGAGTATGACGTCACATGGCAGGTTCGCCGGAGAAAACTGAGAGAGATATGTCAGTATGTAGATGTTTTGTAAACATTTATTACACAGGCAATAAACAAAATCTGCTATGACGTTACACTTCTGTCAAAATTTTCAAGAGAGAGTTAGCGGTATCACAATCACATGATTCGTATACATACTGTATACAGTGGTGGTCAAAACATATGGAACTGAAACGAATATTTTACAAAGGATGGCATATCTATATATATAAAATAATAGGCGTTTTCTTTGTTCGGAGTTAACTCAAAAACTACTGCATAGATTTAAGTGAAATTTTCAGAGGCTATACCTTGCATATAAGGTCCTAGTATAGGCTACCAGAAAACTCGGTAGGTGACGCTGGGGTCGAGTTAATTATAAAAATCGTATTTATGAACCGATTTCTTTTAAATTCAAAATGTATGCTACCAGCATGAAGGCAACCATGTTTCCCAAAAATAGACCCGACAGATGGCGCGGAAGTCGAGTTATTTATAAAAGTCGTATTCATAAACCGATTTCTTTCAAATTCAAAAGGTATAGTTTCAGCATAATGGAAAATCGTTTACCAAAAAACGGAGCCGCTAGGTGGTGCGGGAGGCGAGTTATTTATAAAAGTTGTATTGATGAACCGATTTCGTAAGCATGATGAAAAAAGCACTTGCGAACAAGTAATTTTTAGCAAAAAAAAACCGACTTAAAAAAAAATATATATATCTATATATTTCATACCAAATTAGTATGGGACCACCTCTGAGACACTGAGAATTATTGAAATCGGTTGACGTGGTGCAAAATTATGCGGTAACATACATAAAAAAAAAAACAAAAAAAAAAATATTCCGACGAACTGATAACCTCCTCCTTTTTTGGAAGTCGGTTAATAAAGCAATTTGAGTTAACAAGAGCTCAGGGCGAACTTCATTAAGAACAGCCATGGCGACCTAGTGACTGATGTCTATAAAATGGCTATAAAATAGGCCACACTCTGGCTTATCGAATCTTCTCTTAACCTGCCTTCAGTAACCATATCCTCCGAGAGCCAAGCAGCTATCAAGTCACTGGATTGCTGCAAGATTTCGGCTATAACTGCGATAGAATGTAGGAAAGTCCTTAACGATTTAGCCTCAAAATCTATTACTCACATCGAGTGAGTGCCAGGCCACAGAGACAATAAAGGACGAGCTTGCCAGGAAAGGAACCACTCTGTATGACGTCAACTCCTCTCATGTAGCGGGCATACCGTTATCTACCTGTAAGGCATGGCTCAGGACATACTTCGTTGAGAAGGCAAACCAAAGATGGTCAGTAGAACCTACATGTGGGACGACTCGACAAATCTGGCCCAGCCTCGACAAGAAAACATCCGACGCACTCATTTGGTTAGAACGCCCTCTACTAAGGCTGGTGACCGGTATCTTTACGGGCCACTGCTTAGTGGGAAGGCATGTTAGCAGAATGGGTTTGTTGCCGGCCAAATTGCAAAACTTTAGCAAAAAAATATAAATTTTTTTAAGTCAATAAATAATGTATACAAAGGGTAATAAAGTGGTAATTTCAAATTCTGAAGGCGGTGTGTATTGCTTAATGGTGTTTTTCGCTCTACTGTAAAATTTTTCTAAATGGAGTTAGCAGCTTTTACCGCGGCGGTAACGATATGTTTTTGGGTTGAACCTTCACATTTTGGTGTTACTGAATTGGTCTTCAATCACGGATATTTGATCAATTCTGCATACATTGATATCATGAAGAACTACAGCGCTGGCCATAAGTGTACTCATATTAGGCAACATATCATTTACTAAATTTTTCATACCACTCAATAGGGTCCAGTCAAATTGTCCTTGCATATATGGTCCTATTATAGGCTACTAGAAAACACGCTGGTGGCGCTGTAGTAGAGTTACTTATAAAAGTCGTATTTATTAACAGATTTCGTTCAAATTCCCAGCTATCCCTTTGCTAAAAATGGACCGCTGGAGTTTAGGTATTTAGAAAATCCGTATTTTTTATAAAATCTGATTGGAATTCATAATTCGTATTCATTTCATGACAAGCAAAGGTTTTGAACAAAAGGGACCCAATGGATGACGCGGCACCCGAAATATATAGAAACCCCCCGGGGTTTGTTCTGCTTTGGCCCTATGTTTATCTTACACGAATTTACTCTTCAGATGGCTAAATCAAGGATGCATTTAAGTATGCATGTAAAGACCGTAAGACTGCGTAAGCGTGATCTTGCATCTACCTCCGATTGACGAAGTTGCTCGAGGCGGCCGTTATTACAGCAGTAAAACTCAAAGAAACCAATTCATAAATATTAAGACGAATTGTAAAAGTGGCGAATTGACAAAGAAAGATTCGACCACATCTGTCCAAGAAGGAAAACGATAGCTATATCAATGGCTTCATTTGAACGAAATTTAAGAGATCACACGGTACGGGAAAACTTTTCATCCTGTGGGAAAGCGTGGCCCTCCTATAATTCAAAACGCTCGGAACATCGGACCAATGCTGAAGTTGCAAGATCATAGAAGAATATTACGCACGCTTGGCAGAGATCTCACAGGTGGAAATAATACCATCGAAAGGGATTGGTATTCCATATGGAATCACAGCGCTACTATTCTTGGCATATGTGTGAGGAGGATTTCGCTCTTTAGTCGTTTAAATTTAAACTAAAAATGTTTACTTTACAGACCGATTTTGCTTTTAAACGCTATTTTTGAATTGGCCAACGCAAAAGATCTTATTAGGCGCCGCGAAGCAAGCGGACATTTGATAATTTGGTTAAGTTTAATAGCTTATTAGAGATTAATAGATTATTTCTATAAAAGGAAAATATTCCGATGAATCGATAACCTCTTCCTTTTTTTTGAAGTCGGTTAAAATACATTTTCATCAAAAGAGTTAACGTAGTTAATAACTTATTGGTGGAAACATATGGGGCAAAAATTAAAATGATAATATTGAATTTTCTGAAATAATATTTAGTTGCAAATCCGTTATTATCAATCACAGCTTTTTATTGGCGAGGCATTTACGCTATTAGATTATGAAAGCATCTCAAAATAACAGATTTTAATGTGTCATCTAAACCTCTGAAGATTTTTTCAGGTTTTCGGTGCGAAAAAAGAATGATTGTGGAATCTGGTTTAACCATATTACCATATTTTAGGGCTGCCATAAGCCTAAGCCTATCGAGCACTTATCATCCAAATAAAGGACACTTATCATCCAAATTAAAAACGAAGTTACAAGTGAATATGGTGCCAATATATTCCTTATAAGTACAGTTACTTTGGTTCTACCGTTGCATTATTCTAAAGTAATTTCTGATATTAGCTTTTACACTTTTGAATGTAAACAAAATCTCTATCAGCTGTTCGTCTAACTTGCAAGTTTCTGCAAATTTTCTGTTCGCGTACTACTGTACTATGCTGGATATTTTTCTCTTATGAGAGAACAGATAACATTTCGCCGGAATTTTGCTGTTAGATGTTTTTTACTAGAGATTTTAAACGAACGTACCTATTATACGCTGAACCAAAGGTACAATGGTTTTTTCAACCAAGTTATTGTTTGATTTTTTCATGGTAAATACATGTATTGTAAGAAATGTGATTCAAGTTGAACATTTGAATACAAATTGGAAGTCTGGTTGTAGCTGAACGTGCGGA